TCGGAGAAACTCCCTTTTGCAAGAAAATGTTAAATTTACTGAAGGGGTGTGTGTGTGTTACAGAAACCTTGCAAACAGGAAACAGGAAGATTTATACCTATCTGATAACACATCTGATTCATGGACTCTTTTTCTTTTTCTTCATTTTTTTTTTTTTTGGTTGCATTATTTGACTATGGAAACCTGTCCTAAAATATTCCGCCACAAAGCTTGCCAATGATCTTGAGCAAGTCATTTTCTATCCCACTTCGCAGGATAAGGAGGGTTTTTTTTTTAAAAGAAAATTGACTTTTTTACATTGATCTCAGGTCTTGGAGGAAGAGTGGGATTAAGAATGTGTAATTTTTAATTATATAATTACAGATTCATAGAAGTGGTAGAGATCATTTTTACCATTTGTTTAGTGACTGTTCAAAGTTGCAACAACACACAAAAAATTGACTTACAACCGAACCTCTCACAACCTTTGCAGCATTTTCATGGTCACATGATTTGGGCATTTGGCAACCAGCTTGTATTTATGACGATCACAGTGCCCCAATATCATGTGATCTCTATTTGCAATCTTGCAAGACAGCTTTTGATAAGCAAAGTCAATGGGGGAAACTAGATTTGCTTAACAACTGCAGGATTTACTTAACAACTGCAATTTAACAACTGTGGCAAAAAAGGTCATAAAATGGGGCAAAACTCACTTAATAACTACCTTGCTTAGCAAAGGAAATTTTGAGCTCAATTGTGGTCATAGGTTGAGGACTATCTCAAAACAAATTGATAACATTGTTTACCATAATGCGGGAATTTCAGTAACCTGCCTGAAATAAATTCTAGGAAGCCTTGGTTCAAAGTTTGAATGCAAAGGATATCAACCACAGGTTCAACCACAATCTGTCTTTTTCAAATGAAAATAAGCTACTGATTTATCTTACTGAGTTTATGTAAAGATAATTAGTAAAATATGCATGCAGACATGAAACAAGTTATATTATTCTTACTGGCCATTTAAGCTTACATACTCTTGTTTATGGAAATCGTTAATGAAAAACGGAGTCAGAAATAGTATTGGAAGAATTGGTGAGAAAAACAGTTCCAACAAAATGCTTTTTGCTTCATAATTTGAATAATCAAAATTAAACACCTACTGAAATGAGTAAGTCAAAGTATCCTTCCAGATGACCAGCTCAAGACTTTGTCCGAAACAATGCTATTGCAGTGTAACACACTTTCAAATTAAGATGAGAAAATGTGCCTCTTGTCAGCACATATCATTTTAGCAATATTGCATGGTACTGAAATTGATAGCACTATATTTGGGTATTAATTACCAGTAAGGAATATTAGAGCTTGGTTTCAGACTTCCTTTTTTATAAACCAAGCTGGAAACAAGGAATAAGAATTCAAGAGCTCTGATTACTGTCCCAAAGATGCTTTTTCAGGAGGCAACTGGACTTTCTTGTTTTTTCTTTGAAGACGTTTCGCTTCTCATCCAAGAAGCTTCTTCAGCTCTGACAGGATAGTGAGGAATGGAATCCTCTAAAAGAATGCAAATGACCAGCTGTCTGCAAGGACTGTAAATCCTTTCATTCCTCACTATCCTGTCAGAGCTGAAGAAGCTTCTTGGATGAGAAGCGAAATGTCTTCAAAGAAAAAACAAGAAAGTCCAGTTGCCTCCTGAAAAAGCACCTTTGGGACAACCATGACCTGGATGACTGAGAATCTCTACAGACTTTTAGCTCTCATTAATAGCATTTATTAGAACAAAGGGCACAGTTACAATGTAAGTATTCTAGCAAGTGCCCTATTTTCAAATAGGTTGTTTATATATAGGCATATCTGAGTGGCAAAACATTTGATTTCTTTCACTTTTTTCTATCCAGCAGGCTAGAAGTTTGTGAAGGAACAGCAATCTGCACCTGTTCGTTGTTTTGATAACTGCCATTCTTACCAATGCAAGTAACTCTTGCATTTGTTGAGTCCACTAATGCTGAATGAAAGATTTGCAACCTTCAGAGTTCACCAATTAATTATGAATCTTATCATCGGACTGCAGGTCCCGCCCTCATTTCATCTAAACATATAGAAGTCCCAGGAGTGCCCAAAAAAAGTCATTCCCCTTCAACAGGGAGTAAGTAAAAGAGCTGTTTGTTCTCTGTCCAGTCCTTTTGTTTGTAACTAAATGACTGTCTGAGAACATAGATTGTAAACAGAACTTTTTAGAACCCTGCTGGGTGGACAGTGAAAGGAATTGTGATTGAATGGGTGAATGCTGTTAACAGAAACTTTTATAGCTAAGCTCAGAAGAGGTGGGAAGGGGGTGATGTAGAATCAATTGAGCATCCAAGGGGATTTATTCCAAGGAGCATGGAATGGAACTTGGAATAAAACAGAGTTTCCCTAGAACAAATAACCCCTTACAGAGAGGGAGAAAAACTATGAAATATCCAGACATAGAATGATACCACAATTCATTTCTAAGGAAAATTTGGTTATATTTTTTACTGCAAGAGCATGGGGAGGAAAGGCACAAACAAACTGGGATATCTTCTGAACGATCACTGAAACTTCTAATACATTTTGGGCAGTGGTGGGATTCAAGTAATTTAACAATCAGTTCTCTGCCCTAATGATTTCTTCCCACAACCAGTTTGCCAAACTGCTCAGAAAGTTAACAACCGGTTCTGCCGAAGTGGTGCGAACTGGCTGAATCCCACCATTGATTTTGGGCCCAATAAAGTATTCAAGGGATGCAGTAAAACAGTCTCTTAAATCAGACAGTGAAAAAATAAGACACAATCTAGTCTCTTAATGCACATTTCTGTTTAAAATTTGTTTTCTTTCTTCCCTCATTTTTTTACTTACCAGACATTTGGACAGTTTTGACTTCTTTTCCACATCTGGGTAGTACGTGTAATATATATATTTAATGCTGTAATAATAACAGTTTTAGTTGTAGAATACTGCTAGGAGAAAGCACATGCTTCTATTTCACGTAGAGAAAATCAAGCTATTCTAAAAGTCACCTGAAAGACTTTAAATTCAGCTCAGATTAGGTTTGCTGATAAGCTTGAGTACAAAAGGGACTAGAACAGGGCTTCTCAACCTTGGCAACTTTAAGATGAACTTCATCTCCCATGATTCCACAGCCATCATGGAGCTGGACTAGAGTATTCTAGGACAACGGTCCCCAACTTTTGCAGCTTGGTAGCCTGGCGGGGGTAGGGGAGAGGGGAACTGGGCCGCAGGAGGGGTGAGCCAACGCGCATGCACATACAAGTTGAGCTGCACACATGTATTTATACGCTGGCCTACTCCTTATGTGGTCTGGTTGTGAATAGGCCTTGGCCTGGTAGTGGGCCACAGCCTGGGGGTTGGGGACCCCTGTTCTAGGAGATGGACCCCAAGCCTTAAAGCAGGTTAAAATAAATTAATTGGAAATGGAGAATGAAAGCAATAGTTTTCAAAGAAAAGAAGAAAATGAATCCAGGGGCCTTCATTTGGAAGAAACTTGCCTCTGGGTGGAAGTTTTGAATTATTTCTAGCAGGACTTTCAGATTCTATAACAGCTTTGTTCCCTAGGCATCTGTCTGGTAAACTTGCAAGATTTATTTCTCTCGCCATTTACATGTATACATCTGAACTATATATGGGTACATGCATAATTTTGTATTTATTTATTTATTTATTTATTTATTTATTTATTTATTTATTTATTTTGTCATGTTTATGTTTATATTAGAAGTGGAGACCCTTTGAGAGCTGTATGCAATGTAATTTCATTTTAATGTATGCCGATTAGTGTACATTCAAAGTGACAATAAAGTCTTGCCTTGCTGTGAGAGCCTGAGAATCCTGAAAATCTACTTATGCTTTCCTGGGAGTAAGCACCACTGATCATACCAAGACTCACATCTGTTCAAACCTGCAGAAAATTGTTCTGTCATGCAACCCTACTCCTATATGAAAGTAACCATGGGGGAATTATTTCTGTGTAAACATGATAGAATCAGGCTATTACGGTAATTTGGAAAGAGCCGGTTCCTTTTATTTGTTGCCTTTTCCTCATTCGCATAATTTGTCTCTCATTTTTCCTTGTCAAATATTGCTCTTTTTAAATCTTTTGCTAAATGCAAACGGTTCTCTGAAACATTTGGCTGATGTTTTCTACTGTTCAATAACTTAACGTTGTTGGATGATATGCAGATAAATTTGAAACAAAAATATGCACATGGAAAAGCAGTGATAATAAAATAGCTAGGAGAATAAATATAGCCCATTATATAAGCAGCATACAAACAGAAGCACAAATTACAGTAAATGATATTTTAAAGCAATCAAAGAAATGCCCAAGAAAATAAGTAGTTCCTTATTTGCAGGGCCCAATGTAGGAGCAATCTAGGGAAGGCATTCCAGGCATAAGAGACAACAAGTCTATACACAAAAGTTTACAGTATATAAAACCAGGGTTGTGACATTCTTCACAGTTCTTTGATGTGCTTAGACACATCATTGCAGGTTTCTTTCTTTTCTTCCTTCCCAAATAGGAGGTTTAGTAACGAGGGATTATCTCTTGATCTGGCTATAGCAACTGACCACATTAGCAACCACATTGTCAAGGAAGTGTCCTAGATTGTGTCTGTGACAAAAATTGTCTTAGAGGAGGATGGGAACTATCGTACATTAAAACCAGAACAGCTGAAGTTGAGCTCATGTATGCAATGGCTAGAGAATGAAACCAAAAACCGCTTTCTGGGAACCCACTGAAGAAGTTCCCGGTTTGCTTTATTGAAGAAAATTAGACTTGTGTTGTCTAATGCCACAAGTGAACAACACGAATCCACAGAACTGCATGCTGAACCCTGAAGCCTTGGCCACATCTCCAGATCCTCCAGATGTTATATCCCAATTTTAGTTTCAATGCAATTGTAAATAAAATTTATTAAGGGTATGACTGGAGGATAATCATATTAACCACATTTAACTTTGTATCTACCTTGACACAGGAGGAGAAGGAGGAGGAGGAGAAGAAGAAGGACCACTTTAATGTAAATTTCAATTCAACATGCATGTAAATGTAATCAAACCCAATCCACTTCTGGCCTGGACAAGCCCATTATTTTTTGCAACATGATCTTTGAATTATTATTATTCAGTCCGGAGGAAGTTGAACATCCAGTTGTCCAGCTCTGGGCAGAGTAAGATTTGTCTTCTTTCCTAATCTTGCTAAGAAAACTGTAGTTTAGAAATAGAACTTATGTTCTGAAGGTGGCAGGTTGAATTCATAGCATTTCCAAGGACAGATGTGAAAAGGGTCCTGTCCAAGACATTGAAAAACCTTAACCTGAGGTGGCCCAACTCTGTATAAGACATCTTCCTGTAGATGAGGAATGGTTGTGGGAACTGAGGGGGTTGGACTAGAAGACACTCCCCTCCCACTGAAGATCCCTCCCAACTCTGTTATTTTATATTACAATACAATTCATTTTGTGGCCTTTTTGACAGAAGAGGATTCCAATCAGGCATATATGGTCAGGATGTACTTTCCCCTCTTTTTAACATTTAAAAGGACTGGTGTGTGTATAACAGTGCCAAGCTCTTGAAAGCATTGTTTCTACTCCTGGTGGGAATAAAATGCCCAAGTTCACTCTTATCAGGATTCTGGACAGAGGTGTTCCACCCCCCCCCCAATCCTTAATTCCAGTTGGAAATAGACAATATTTTGCTCCTCCACCAAGGGTTGAAAAGGGCATGATAAGACCAGTATTGGTGGATTTCAATTTTTTTTACTACCGGTTCTGTGGGTGTGGCTTGGTGGGCGTGGCATGGCTTGGTGGGCGTGGCATGGCGGGCATGGCAGGGGAAGGATACTGTACAATCCCCATTTCCTCCTCATCAGCTGGGACTCAGGAGGCAGAGAATAGATGGGGGCAGGGCCAGTCAGAGGTGGTATTTACCGGTTTTCCGATTTCTGCTACCGGTTCTCCAGGACTGGTCAGAACCTGCTGAAACCCACCTCTGGCTAAGACCCACCATGATGTATGGGACACATTCTTTCATTCCACTATTGTACCTGGCTATTAATTTTCTGCGGTGCTATAGAAATCTCCAACTCCTACTGGATAAGATATAATCAGCTGGAAAAGTCTGTATGTGCCCCATTCAGTCATTTCAAAAACCTGTTTGTTTATGAACTTTTTTTTTTCCAAGAGGAAGCCTGAGGTATTGCTTCATCTAATGCTAAATCCTTCGGAGGGTGTTCCAAATGTCCATTGGTTATTTCTTAATTCTGTTCAGTCTGAGCAATGTTTCTCAACCTCAGCAGCTTGAAGATGGGTGGGCTTCAGCTCCCTGGGGAATTCTGGGAGTTGAAGTCCACCCATCTTCAAGCTGCCTAGGTTGAGAAACACTGAGTTAGAGAGTTTTATATTTGTGTTCATCCTAAGCTTGTTGCTTTAAGGCTTGGGTTTTAAAATGTCCAATCCCTAACCTCCCTGCCACTAATGCCAGGTGAACTTTGTGCCTGTTTCAGATTTCTCTCCAGACAGACCTGATAAAAGCATTATTGGGCAGATTCAAAAGCAAGCATAAAACCAGCATAGCTAATTTAGGCTAATTAGTATGGCGGAAGCTGCGCCTTGTACTTCAGAGGTTCCCAGGCCCTCCTGGGCCTCCACCTGATCGCCTTGTCCAGCAGCAAACCCAGGAGGCACTGCCAATTATATCATAACCTCTTCAAACACCAAGCCACTCCAGCTAATTTTATCCTATTAAACAGGCGGAAGGATTCAGAAGAAAGGTTCTCCCCCAAAAGCTTCAATTACCAGTTTTCCTGATTACCATCTTAACAATCCTATATGCTCGAGTTAAATACTTCTCTTTTTTTATTTGCTTAGTGTTGCTTTCTTCATTGAGATGAAACGTGAGTATTAAGTGCATGTCTTTTCAACTCTAACGAGTGACATTAATAAAGAAATGGGGTGGGGGGAGGAGAGGAGAGGGAAAAAAAAGCTCTTTTCTTATTAGCATGATTAATCAAAGTCAAGTTTAGAAGTGTTCAAAGGCAAATGTGATCGAAAAAGGGGTGTAAACATCTCTGCGCATCTTAGCATTTTCAACAGCCCAAGGTAAGCCCCAATAATATCTGATGTCTCAAGAGAAGATACACAAATAAGCAAAAGTTTGGCAGAATGATGGTGGGGGCAAGGAAGGATAAGAAGGGAGAGAGATTACCGCAGCCCCAAGTGGTTCTAGTAAGTAAATCTGATAGTGTTAATAGGTATCAAGAGACATGGTAAATAAGACCATTCCTTTGGTTTTAACTAAGAGGCACCTTATCTGTTAGCCTGGCCATTTCCTGGAGAGCAGACTAAGTAGTGGATGGCTGTAATTGTCCCCACTGCTGATTTCCCAGGAGTCCATATTCCTGAAGCACAGATTTCCTGGTGCAAATCATATAGCTGATCAATTATTAATTGATTATTTTGTAAAATTAGCATGTATAAAGGATCTGAAAGTTAGGGTTCACATTCTAAAAGAGAAAATCACATTCTATCTTTTAACTTCCTGAAATGACTCTTTGAGATGGACTTGTATTAATTTCACCTATTGGTTATTAATTTTGTACAAGATTGGGGTTGAGTTGCTGTAGCAGGCTTATAGTTACCCAAGAAAGAAATTTCAAATGTATAGCAGAAATATATTTGAACTGGGCACTTACTGGAACATAACTTAGTCTTTTAACCATTTCACACAAACTTGCCTGTCCATGACAATCCTCAGTTGAAATAACATGAGCATGTTATCTAGAAGTGCCAGAAAAATCAGAGGAATGCATGGTTATGGAATTGAGCAATATTTCATTTCAAATGCATGAAATGTTAGCTTTGGAGCCTGTATAGGCGTGCTTGATGGTGAATGGGCAACAGGTTTGTCATTTGGCCTCTGTGGGTCAGGAGGAAGGGAAGGAAGACTCCATTCGTGCAGCAGGTGAGAGAAGGAAGCCCCACCATATAAATGATACAAATTAAACTTATATTTGTATATCAGTGATTGTATGACTTCTGTAGATGCCGTACGCTAAATCAGGGGTCGGCAACCTTAAACACTCAAAGAGCCACAAGGGTCCTAACTGGAAGCCCCCATTGGAGGTAACCGGAAGTCCGGTTCCCCCATCATAGTCTCCTCCTAGCACGGCATCCTTTTTCCTCTACCTATCCTAACCAAAAGCCCTATCAATTGGGGAGCTGACCAGCAACAGGGAGCCGCAGCAGAGGGATGAAAGAGCCATATGTGGCTCCAGAGCTGCGGGTTGCTGACCCCTGCGCTAAACAAATGATGCAAATGGCATGCAGGACATCATTTGTGTCATGATCAGTGGTGGATTGCCCCTGGTTCGCACCGGTTCTATAGAACCAATAGTAAAACTGGTGGGAGGCTCCGCCCACTGACCCCGACGTCACCAAAATGCTTCTGCGCTTGCGCAGAAGAGCATGCACGGCCCCATTGCAAACCAGTAGTAAAGGTAAGTAGAACCCACCCCTGGTCATGATGCAAGTGGTGCAAATTATATAGTTCACATTATTTGGGTGACGATACAGATAATAAAGCCCTTTCCTGGGTTTGAAATCAAAGGGTTGCAAAGTGCATGAGATTGCAATGCAGCTTTCCTGGATAGTAGTGGTGGGCATGGGAACTACTCTTGTTCTCCATTAAACAGAACACTATTCTGGTTTGAATTAGATACATTCCAACTATAAGGAGGTTAGTCTTGAATAAAACTATTTGTGCATAATCCACTCTAAGAAACTTAATTTTAGTATCTTCTGTTGTTCACCTGTGATCCTGAACAAAACTCTCAGCCCTTGTATTGATTGGATCAAATTCTGTATTTGATTCTTCTTTTCTTGATTCCTTTTGGACCAGATATTTCAGTACCTGGATTAGCTGACTGATGGATCATCTCCAAATACATTTTCTGCCCAGCCTTCTAGCTGATGTTGATTATTTCAGAAATGAGTCCACCCAACTACTTCAACATCTGCTAAAACAGGATAGGTTGGGGAACTGTAGATCCTTGAGACCTAAGGTTCTCCTAGTGCTCATCTACATCCCCAGCATGGGAGGATATCAATCCTCTAGTTGATGTAAATAAAGTCCTTTCTACTCTTTCACTTCTGCCCCGCTGACATTAACCCAGTGTGACTTTAAATAAGATGATAGCTCCAGCATCAGATATTTCCAAATCAGCAGGTGGGATTCCCTTCTCACCTCTGTAAATTCAAAGCATCTCAACATTCAGACACCTCTACCAGTTCAGTCTAAACCTTTATTCAAAAGACTTGTTCCTAAATAATGATTCCTTTAAACCATGTACATATATCCTGTGACTTTTACCTTCGTTTTATTTACTATAAGGTCTCTAGGCTAATTACTATTAATCACATTTTGTTTTTCCCAGCCTATGTTCAGATTGCAAATCAATAATCTAAAATCATGGTGGGGGAATGTAAATAGTAAGGACAATGGTGTTAGTCTCCTCTGACATTGTTACTCAAGCATGGGTGTGAAAATCTTATCTCCTTGTTTTTCAGCTAGTATGATATTTTCACCTTAAACAGAGTGACTTTCACTCCGGCTTTCTCTTGCTACTAGTGTTCTGAAAACACTCCACAACAGTCTGGCTTCTGAAAAACAAACAGCTACTAAGTAAAGTTACTAGCTAACTATCCTCACTCCTACTGGTGCCAATTTTTCTTAATGTTTTCTCAGAGCTTAATTTGTGAGCCTATTTGGGGCCCGTCACTCTCTCTCAACCCAACCCACCTCACACGTTGGGAAAATAGCAAGGCGAAATAGTATTTGGTACATTCGCCACCTTGAATTATTTATAAAAATATTAAAGGTGGGATAAAAATAAATAAGTGTTCAGGGCCATTAGAGAATCAGAGCTTATTTTGCTGCTAGGACACAATATGGAATTCAGGAAAACTGTCTTTAAACGATAAGTGGAACATGAAGCATGGGGTGGGCTCCCAAATTCCTGGATACCAGAAGCTATGAAATGCGAGTAGCCCAAACCTGAATTATTGCTGTCCCAAGCTTAGCTGTCATTTAATTCAATCATCGTTGATCTCCCACTGGTTTGCTGTACATGTATGGCTTCCTACTGTGTGACTTAAAGTCTCAGCAA